TTTAGTAGAGACGGGGTTTCACCATGTTGACCAGGATGGTCTCGATCTCTTGACCTCGTGATCCACCCGCCTCGGCCTCCCAAAGTGCTGGGATTACAGGCTTGAGCCACCGTGCCCGGCCAGTGAACCTATTTTCATTTTGGAAAATATTTATGAAACAATGGTTGTATATGGGGGAGGGGAGCTGCTTTTCTGCCCTAGTTTGGGCTCTCTGGTCTTTCCCTTCACCGCAGCCCTGGTGGGAATGTGGTGGGTTTTTGTTTGTTTGTTTGTTTGTTTGTTCTGAGACAGAGTCTTGCTCTGCCACCCAGACTGGAGTGCCGTGGCGCCATCTCAGCTCACTACCACCTCCACTTCCCAGGTTCAAGCAATTTTCCTGCCTCAGCCTCCCAGGTAGCTGGGATTACAGGAGCCCACCACCGTGCCTGGCTAATTTTTGTGTTTTTAGTAGAGACAGGGTTTCACCGTGTTGGCCAGGCTGGTCTTGAACTCCTGAGCTCAAGTGAGCTGCCTGCCCTGGCCTCCCAAAGTGCTGGGAAGGTGTGAGCCACTTTGCCTCGCCAGAAATGTGTTTTTTGTTATCTGCAGCACCTAGAGCTGCTCCAGCTGGCAGTGCAGGGAGGCGCTGCAGAGTGACCAGACGCCCCCCTGTGCCTCAGTTTCATCATCTTTAAAGCAGAGATCATCATTCTTGCCCTAACCTGCTGAGAGATTGCTGGGAAGGTTAGCGTCAGATAACTTACATCAAAGTTCTTGGAAACATAAAACACTAGGCAAATACAAAGGTCATCATTAAGCCTAGCCCTGGAAGAAATGAGTTGGTCTATTCAAAGAAAGAAAGTGGCCGGGTGCGATGGCTCATGCCTGTAATCCCAGCACTTTGGGAGGCTGAGGCGGGCAGATCACCTGAGGTTAGGAGTTCGGGACCAGCCTGACCAATATGGTGAAACCCTGTTTTTTTTTTTTTTTTAAAAAAAGAAAGTGGCCTGTGACATTTTAGGCAGGGGTCACAGCCGTAACTTGCTAAGGGTCAACTAGTGACCAGACTGACTCAACCTAGGCAGGAGATGGGAGAGTGGTGAGTTGGGTAGCTGGGTGGGTAGCTATTGCTGGGAGCATTAGTATAGCCCAAGGTACAGGGGCTTGGCAGAATACAGTATAGCATTTGATTACTTGACCCTTGTTCCCAGCTGACTTCCTCCCACTCATGCAAGGTCTCATCCCGGGTTATCACTTTCTCCCTCTGCATAACAGGCTCAAGAATGGGACATGGACGCCCGGCGGCCAATGCCTTTTCAGTTCCCACCCTTTCCGGATAGGGCACCTGTCTTCCCCGACCGCATGATGCGAGAGCCCCAGTTGCCCACAGCAGAGATCTCACTCTGGACCGTGGTGGCTGCCATCCAGGCTGTGGAGAGGAAGGTGGATGCCCAGGCCAGCCAACTGCTGAACCTGGAGGGGCGCACGGGAACAGCTGAGAAGAAGCTGGCTGACTGTGAAAAGACAGCTGTGGAATTTGGGAACCACATGGAGAGCAAGTGGGCCATGCTGGGGACCCTGCTGCAGGAGTACGGGCTGCTGCAGAGGCGGCTGGAGAACCTGGAGAACCTGCTGCGCAACAGGAACTTCTGGGTCCTGCGGCTGCCCCCGGGTAGCAAGGGGGAGGCCCCCAAGGTATGTGGCGGTCCCCAGGGCAGGGATGGAGATGAGGAACAGTATAGGTGAATAAAATCCTTGATTTCATTTTGTCAGCCCTTCTTATAAACTTTGGCTTCCTGTTATCCAATTTCAATGCCTTCTTTTTTTTTTGAGATGAAGTTTCACTCTTAATGCCCAGGCTGGAGTGCAATGGCGCGATATAGGCTCACTGCAGCCTCTGCCTCCCGGGTTCAAGTGATTCCCCTGCCTCAGCCTCCCAAGTGGCTGGGATTACAGGCATGCACCACCACGCCCAGCTAATTTTGTATTTTTAGTAGAGAGGGGGTTTCTCCATGTTGGTCAGGCTGGTCTCGAACTTCTGACCTCAGGTGATCTGCCCACCTCAGCCTCCCAAAATGCTGGGATTACAGGCATGAGCCGCCGCGCCCAGCCTCAGTGTCTTCTTAGGGCCTGTCTCCACTTAAACAACCTGGTCTTGAACATTCTACCCCAGCAAGGTTCACCTCCACTCATTCCCCACAGACTCCGCATTTCCGTCTTGGACCCTTTGCTCTTGTTGTCCCCAGACCCCTTTGAGTTGCCTGGTTGTCGGCAAGTTTCTGCAGCTCTTCACTCCTTGGTTTTCCCACTTGACACCTACCAGCGACCATGTGTCATTGGCTGTCTTGGTGTATGCCTATCTGAATGTGGCTGGAGTCACATCTCAAATCAGGCTGCCTGGGGTTGCTCTCAAGTCATGGTCACTGACCTCAGGGGGACCCTTCTTCAAGTTCAGAATGCACGCTCTATTTCTTATTCCGTTTCCTCTCCTGCTTTCCTCTCGGATCCTCAGTGCTGCTTTTCATTTCACGGAGAGAACGGAGTCACTCAGACGAGGCGTCCGCATGCAGCCAGCTTGTTCTTCCATCTGCTGCTCGGTGGCCACAGGTTCTGCTTTCCCGTGTTCCTGTGGCTTGATGTCCCCTGCCCATCCCAGGAGCATCTCTTTCCTTTCTCCTCTGAGTCATCAGCTTTCCCCTCTCTGCTGGGCCATTCCCACCGGCATGTGGCTGTTCTGTCCTGCTCTCCATCTCTAACAGAAAACCTCCCTGGGCCCTGCATCCTCCTGTATTGGTGCCTCATTTCTCCACTCCTCTTTAGAGCAGGATCCCTTGAAAGTGTTGTCTGTACTTATCCCCAATTCTTTCTTCCCCATTTTCTCCTTCCCTCCCGTTTCCCCTTCTCTTTATTATAAAATATTCAAGGAAAAGTAGATAGAATAGTATAATGGGCCCCCATGTACCCACCATCCAACTTCATTAGCTGTCAATTCTTGGCCAATCTAGTTTCACCTAAATCCCTGCCCACTTCCCCATTCCCATTTTATTTTGAAGCAAACCCCAGAAATCAGTCATTTCCTTTGCAAATATTTCAGTATTAGCTTAAAAGGTAAGGACTTTTTTTTTTTTTAAGTGATAACCTCAATGTTACTACCACCATTACCATAGTAAAAGCTTGAGCCTAGATCACCATCTAGACAATGATTAGATTTTTAGTTGTTTCCATTTTTTATTTTGTTTTCTTTTTTTATCCCCCTCCATTTTTTTTTTTGG